AGCAAGTAACAAATGATTCTGGCTCTCCTTTTTTTCTCATTTGTAAATTTCAGTAGTTGGACCAAGGTACCTCTAGGTCACAAACAAGAAAGTATTTCCTAACAAATGAAGATTTAAATGTTTTGAGGACCACATTTATTATTTTCATCCATTTTACATGTTATGTTAATGTTTTACATAACATTTCATTTCAATAAAAGACTGCTACTAATCTTTAAAAATATATTTAAAAATTGTTTGTTGAATTGGGTTATGGTTTGGGGCTTGTCGAAAGAAAAAACACACACAACCTAAGAGTTGCGAGTTACGTTGTATTCGAGGATTTTACTGTGGACTATAGCCTGGGAGACGGCCTCTCCTCTCATACAGCTCTGAGGAACTTACCAAAGACGTAAGGGAGCAGCCACGATATATAGGAGTCTTTGCTGAAAAACTACAAGTAGCCGAACATCGAAATCACTGCTAATCACAAAAAAACAGACGTCTAAAGTTAATGATTTTACCACTTTTCTAGGTCCAGGAAGATGCAAGCATCTGGGCTCATTGAAATTATTCCTTTGATATGCACCTTAACTATCTAGGGCCAGCATCCTGTTTTTCTCCCTCCCGAATTCCCCTCCAGGTGCACCCTGGGGGTTAGGAGCAGAGGCCCAGTGGCTAATGGCTTGATAGTGGGCAACCTTTGTAGTTTACTGAAGTGGCAGCCAGTATTTCTTGTCCACAGGCTCTAGCAATCTCCTGGGAGTCTCTAGTTACATTCTGCCCAGTAAGCATTTGCAGACCTTGTTTCCGTGTGGCATCCCCACACCTCCAGCCACCCGGTTAGGACACCCTGGGCCTCCACTCGGCTGGGATGGCTCCGCCCACCTAGCGCTCTCCTCCTCTGCCCTGCCTTAGCGTCCCCCCACTCCTTAGCTCGTCCTCGACCGACTTAGTAGCACTTTCCTTGTCTCCCAAAGCACAAGCTTCTTGGGCGAAAATAATTGTGCTCACAGTTCTCTTATATTTGCGGCCAAGTCAATCCTTGTTGAGTTAAATTTTACCGCCGGAGAGGACAAACTTAAGACAGCTTTAACAAAAAATGTTATTCCCAGACGCAGGCCTTCAGAGACGGTGGAAATGGGAGAACCCAACCGTTGACCTCCGGGCGGGGGAGCACTCACTCCGGCCACCGCAGCCGCGCTCGGCTCCCGGGCCTGCAGCTGGGGCCCCTCCACGCCGCCCGGGACAAAGGGGCTTGTGTCCCGCCGCCCTGCGGGAGCCTTTCTCTGCCGGCCGCCGAGAGGCCTCTGCCGAAGCATGGGCGGAGCGAATTGCGTGCTACCCCGCGCGTGGCCCGGCTCCCTGGTGGGCCAGCCGAGCTCGCCGGTTAGGCCGCTCTAGCCCCGGCCCCGCGTGCTGGAGCCTCTTCGGGCACAGCCGCCCGGTCCCGGCCCCTACTCCTCCCGACGCTCCCCTTGTCGGAGCCGGTGCGCAGAAAGACGCCTGCGGCAATAGCGTGAACTTTGCCCAAAGTTCAGACACAGCCCTGCGACTGGGGGCCTTTTGGGTTCTCAAGGGTAGAAATGTAAAATTCCTACTTCCCTTTTAATGATCCGGGAGCCTCCTCCACCTCTGTGTCTTAGGCAGAGCCCAAACAGCTTCTCTCCTTTGCTTTATCCCAGGGAAAAACTGAAGGATTGTGGGGGAAAAGAGAGAAGTCGTGCCTAACAGTAACTGAACTTCAGCCAATTGCCAGGTACTTTTCTAGGCACTTAGATACTGTTTTAGTTAATCCTCAAAAGGGCTTGTGAAATAAATATTGTTTTCACATTCTGTCTTTACGTTCTTAGAAAACTGAGGTTAGGACTTAACTGGTGGTCCAGTGATTAAGGCTCCACGTTTCCCAGGACTTCCCTAGTGGCGCATTGGTTAAGAATCCGCCTGCCAATGCAGGGGTCACAGGTTTGAGCCCTGGCCCAGGAAGATCCCACATGCTGCAGAGCAACTAAGCCCGAGCGCCACAACTACTGAAGCCTGCGCTCTAGAGCCCGTGCTCCACCACAAGAGAAGCCACAGCAAAGAGTAGCCCTGCTCGCCGCAACTAGAGAAAGCCCGCGCTCGGCAACAAAGACCCAACGCAGCTAAAAATAAATAAATAAATAAATAAAATTTAAAAGGAAAAAAAAGTCTCCACGCTTCCAATGCAGGGGGCGCAGGTTTGGTCCCTGGCAGGGGAACTAAGATCCCACAAGCAGTTTGGCGTGGCCCAAAAAAAAAAAAAAAGAAAGAAAAAGAAAACCTGAGGTTAGAATTTCCCCCTCTGTGTCTGCCCTAGGCAGGCACTGGTTAATAACCTTATCATCCACCAAATCCTCCTCCAGTTACATATACATTTCCCTTTCCCCTTATTCCCACATCATTTAATGAATATTTATTGAGTGCCTACTGTGTACAAATGTGTGTGTGGTGTTGGGGGGGAGGTTCTGTAATGAATAAAGCAGACAAGGTCCCTGTGGTCACAAAACTGGGGGGGGGTGGGGGGAATCACAACTAATTATTATAATACAAAAGGGGAATGAGAGTCCTGAAGACGAATTCCCCAGGTGCTGGAGGAGGAGGCTTTATAATCTGGTCGGGGTTGGGAGAGGTCAGGGAGCTTTCAGAGCTGTTGTATTAGTCTGGGGGACAGAGGAGGTCTGAGGATGCTGATGGCAGGAAGGACCCACTATAAAGAAACTAGGAGGGGATTTCCCTGGCGGTCCACTGGTTAGGACTCCGCGTTTCCACTGCAGGGGGCACGGGTTTGATCCCTGGTTGGGGAACTAAGATCCCACGTGCCTCCCAGCCTGGCCATAAATAAAAGAAACTAGGAGGTCTTCCCTGGTGGCACAGTGGTTGAGAGTCTGCCTGCCGATGCAGGGGACATGGGCTCGTGCCCCGGTCCGGGAAGATCCCACATGCCGCGGAGCAGCTGGGCCCGTGAGCCATGGCCACTGAGCCTGCGCGTCCGGAGCCTGTGCTCCGCAACGGGAGAGGCCACAACAGTGAGAGGCCCGCGTACCGCAAAAAAAAAAAAGAAAAAAGAAAAGAAAAGAAACTAGGAAACTAGGAGATTGAAATCAACAGGACTTAAAAACTTGTTAGTTGTGGAAGGTGACTGAAAAGTTGACCCAGCCTCTCTGCCACCTCTCCCCTCCCACAGTGGGGCACTGGAGAGAAGGAAAAACTAGGTAGATCCCTGGGTTCTGATCCTGATTGAGTTCTTCCTTGCTTGGTGACATCATGGACAAATCACTGTTCTGTAAAGCCTTGGGAGACCTGCATTCCTTCCTTAGACTGCAGGTATGCCATGCCCTATGATGGTGTTCCTTAAACTGTGGGGGGACATTGCAAAAAATATAAGAAGAAGGTGTAGGAAAACTACATTCCTCACTTACAGTAATTCAAATACTGTAGTGGTGGTACTGGAAAATGGGATAAAAAGTCTAGAAATAAACCCAAATACATTTGTGAATGTAGTATATGACCAAGGAAGTAATACATAGAAATACAGAGAAGATTATTCAAGAAATGTTCAGAAAACATAGATTGTTCAATATGTGATTTTGGGACAATGAATAGCCATCTGGAAGAAAATTAATTTGGATCTATATCTCACATCCTGTTCCAAAATATATTTTAGATGACTCAAAATGAAACAATGAAAAATAAACTTTAGAAGCACTAGAAGAAAACATACGTTTTTAAAAATAATCTTGGAGTAGGAAAGTCCTTTCTAAGTAGTATAACACAAAAGCCAGAAGCCACACACATACACATGCATACACATTCAAACGACAACAATAAAAAACACCAGATACACTACGTATCACAGACAAAAGAATAATTTTCTTTTAAAATTTATTTATTTTATTTATTTATTTTTGGCTTCGTTGGGTCTTCGTTGCTGTGCACGGGCTTTCTCTAGTTGCGGCGAGTGGGGCTACTCTTCATTGCAGTGCGCAGGCTTCTCATTGCAGTGGCTTCTCATTGCGGAGCACGGGCTCTAGACGCGCGGGCTTCGGTAGTTGCGGCACGCGGGCTCAGTAGTTGTGGCACACAGGCTTAGTTGCTCCATGGCATGTGGGATCTTCCCGGACCAGGGATCGAACCTGTGTCCCCTGCATTGGCAGGCGGATTCTCAACCATTGCACCACCAGGGAAGCCCCAAAAGAATAATATATATTTTAATATAAAATGAGCAGGGACTTCCCTGGTGGCACAGTGGTTAAGAATCCTCCTGCCAATGCAGAGGACACAGGTTCGATCCCTGGTCCGGGAAGATCCCACATGCTGTGGAGCAACTAAGCCTGTATGCCACAACTACTGAGCCCGCGTGCCGCAACTACTGAAGCCTGCGCACCTAGAGCCCATGCTCTGCAACAAGACAAGCCACTGCAATGAGAAGCCCGCGCACCGCGACGGAGAGCAGTGCCCGCTCACCACAACTAGAGAAAGCCCGCGTGCAGCAACAAAGACCCAACACAGCCAAAAATAAATAAATAAATTTACAATTTAAAAAAAGACCAATTATGGGGAATTCCCTGGCAGTCCAGTGGTTAGGACTTCATGCTCTCATTGCGGAGGGCCTGGGTTCAATCCCTGGTCAGGGAACTAAGAAACCACAAGCTGCACGGTGCAGCCAAAAAAAAAAGAACACTTACGAATTAGTAACAAGAGACCAACAACTTGGTAAAAAAGTACATGACGGGGGAGGGATAAATTGGGAGATTTGTATTGACATATACACACTACTATATATAAAATAGATAACTAATAAGAACCTAATGTATAGCACAGGGAACTCAATTCAATACTTTGTAATGACCTATATGGGAACAGAATCTAAAAAAGAGTGGATATGTGTATATGTATAACTGACTCACTTTGCTGTACAGCAGAAACTAACACAACATTGTAAATGAACTATACTCCAGTTAAAAAAAATTAATTTAAAAAAATTATATGACAGGGGGGAGGGGTCGGGGGAGGGGCAGCCCGCGCGGGTCCCGGGTGCAGGTCCCGGGCTTAGACCGGCCCGATCAGGTCCGGGGTCAGGCGGCGACGCTGCCCCCGGGCCCGGCCATGGTGCAGGCCTGGTACATGGACAAGTCGGCCGACGACCCGCGGCGGCCCCACCGCGGGGAGCCCGCGCGCCCGGTCGACCTGGAGCAGCTGCGCGGGCTCGGGGTCCTTTACTGGAAGCTGGATGCTGACAAATATGAGAATGATCCAGAATTAGAAAAGATCCGAAAAGAGAGAAACTACTCCTGGATGGACAGAATAACCATATGCAAAGACAAACTACCAAATTACGAAGAAAAGATTAAGATGTTTTATGAGGAGCGTTTACACCTGGATGATGAGATTCGCTACATCCTGGACGGCAGTGGGTACTTCGACGTAAGGGATAAAGAGGACAGGTGGATCCGGATCTTCATGGAGAAAGGAGACATGATCACTCTCCCCGCCGGGATATACCACCGCTTCACGCTGGACGAGAAGAACTACGTGAAGGCCATGCGGCTGTTTGTGGGAGACCCAGTGTGGACGGCGTACAACCGGCCGGCTGACCACTTCGAGGCCCGCGGGCAGTACCTAGAGTTTCTGGCGCAGACGGCCTAGCGGTGCCCTGGGGCCTGGCGCACCCCGGCCCCTCTTGTGAAGGTCCCAGGCCTGATGCAGCAGAAAAGCAGTCATATTCTCTTTGTTTTTGTGTTGTAGACTTGAGGCTAGGTGAGCTTTCCTCTGCAAGACTGTTGGATCAGAATACGTTTTTAATGGGAGCAGCTGTAGAACCAGTTTGTACGTGGAAGCACCTGTGGAGATCTGGGCAAATCCGCTCATTTTCTCTGATTCAGGATCAGTGGTCAGTGGCCCTGTGTCAGCTCATGCCTTCAGCTGTGACCCAGTGAGTTTCAGCGCCCCAAACGCAGCTACTTAGCTGCCCCATCTGGACCCGATTCTTGGACTTTAAGCAGATACCAGGCGAGTCCACGCCTGCCCTGTGCGAAGGAGTGACAGTGGATGACAGGAGTGAGCAGAGAGAAGACGCTTTTCTCCCAAAACACGGGGGAAGCTGGGTAGGGGGTGCCATGGGGGATGAGCTGGCGTGTTAGGGGGACCCTCGCTTGATTATGCCACGTTTTTGTTCAAGATAAAGCAGCTGCCTTAATGTTATGCTTGTGTCTTGGAGTTACCTTATATTCTGGTACATATGGTTCCTTAAAATCATCCCGGTTAGATCCTTTGTGGGATTGTATGTGTGTATAATTAATTTTTATTTTATCTGGGTTATTACTCGTTCCAGGTGAGATTTCTAGGTTAAACTCCCTACAGTAAATCTCTTTTACAATCAAGCCTTTGAATTTTAACAGAAAAACTTGTACCTTTTTTTTTAGTTAACAATTCTGAGATACAATTATACCTAATTCGTTATAATCATAGAAAAACCCTAAATTAACCTCATATTTGAAGGGCAGTTTGCTTTAAGTATTTCTTTTAAACTGGATTAAAAATCTTTATGTTAAAAAAAAAAAGTATATGACAAACAGTTCACAGTAAAGAAAATCAAAATGTCTCTTAAAGCTATGAAAAGATACCTCACTCATAATAAGAGAAATACAAACCAAAGTTACAATGAAATACCTTTCTCACTTATCAGATATGCAAAACCCGCCTATGGAAGGCAATTTGGCAATATTGACCAAAATTTTAAACGCCCATTCCTTTGACTCAGCAATTTCTCTTTTAGGAATTTTCCTATAGCTATATTCATAAGTATGAAGCGATATGCCCCCAAAATTCATTGCAGCACTCTTTGTAATAGCAAAGTATGGGAAACAGATGCATATGTACAGCTCGGGAAAAACCTTCAAATGTAGAGGCTTGTAGGGTATATTAGATTGGAATTACATCTATAAAATTGAAACAATAATTGTACCTACTGCACAGGGTTGTTGTGACGTTTAAATGAATTAAAATACCGAAAGAACTTAGAAAAATATCCGGAATATATACCATTAGCTGTTTACTTACACACATACTGTTAATAAAAAGAACAAGAGGCATAATGGCATGTACAGTTACCCACTATTTGTGTAAAAGAAAAATAAGTATTTGGGAAAAATATCCCTTGAAAATTTCACAATTAATCAGTAACTCTGGTTACCTCTGGAGAGAGGAACTGAGGGGCCAGCAGCAAGGCAACTTATTTTCACTGTCTACCTTTGTATACCTGTTAAATTTCTTAACCATGTATATTTGATATCTATTTGAAAAGATAAATTAAATTGTTTAAAGTAGAAAAGTATCAATCAGAAACACATAAAGAAAAAGAAATCAAATTTTATAAGACAAATTATGTTCCAATCTTTTCCATTAATGTTATTATGCTGAAATTATATATTGCAGTCATTGAATGATTTTTCAAGCACTGCTGCACACTTTCAAATTATTGATGCAGTGTAGTGCTTGCACCTCAAAGTGTGGTCCTCAGGCCAGCAACATCAGCATCACCTTGGAATTTGTTAGAAATGCAGAATCTCAGGTCCCACCCCACACCTACCGAATCAGAATATTTTCAACAAGATTCTCAGGTAATTTGACTGTGGCATCTTGTTTGAGGAACGAGGAGCACGGAGCCAGAGGACATAATAAAAAACAAAGATATACAAAACAAAACAAAAACACTGTTCTGCTCGTCTCTTCTCTTTGACCCCCACCTCTCCAAATTGTTGTGGCTCTGAAACCGAGCAGGACCCTGTGGGGGCACTCCTGTGTACAAAAGCCTTTTTGTGTCCCCCCATTTCTGGTTTGCAGGAAAAAGGCTTCAGCTTCCTAGGCCTTCCCTGAACTCCAAAGGGCAGATTCAAGCAGTTACTAATTAGGGGAATGAGGGAATGCAGAAACAAAGAAAGGCAGTCAAGAAACAATGGGGCAGGTACCTGGTTCCTTCTCAAGGGATATACATAACTGATACAAATCTCCAAGCCCTTCTACAGGAACTAAGGCCTCCACCCATGTGGAGGAGGTAACTTCAGGCAGAGCACGTGGACCCAGACTGGTTAGGATCAGAACACCACCCTGTTACCTCACCACCAACCAAAGGAAGGTCACACAGCCTGCAGCCCTCCCCCACAAATTCTGTCTATAAAAACTCTTCCCTTGGGAATTCCCTGGCAATCCAGTGGTTAGGACTCCACGCTTCCACTGCAGGGGGCACGGGTTTGATCCCTGGTTGGGGAACTAAGATCCCACAAGCCTTGCGGGCACAGCCAAACAAACAGAAACAAACAAACAAAATTCTTCCCCCAAAACTATTGGGGAGTTCGGCCTTTTTGGGCAAGAGCTGCCTGTTCTCCTTGGTGGGTCCTTGCAGTAAACCTTTCTCTGCTCCGAACTTCACCATTTTGGTTTGCTTGGCCTCACTGTGCATCAGGCACATGAACTTGTGTCCGACAACAGCTTGATGATTCTGGAAAACACTGCTGAGTGAAAGAAGGCAAACACAAAATAATCCAACCTACATGATTCTATTTATATGAACTCAAAACAAACTACACCAATCCATGGTGTTTGAAGTCAGGATAGAGGTTACTTCTGGAGAGGAGAGAGGGGGCAGACATGGGGCAGGGCCCAAGACTTGCTTCTGGAGTGCTGGTAATATTCTGTTTCTTGACCTGGTTACTGGTTATTTGGATCTGTTTGTGAAAATTCTTAAGAACTGTACACTTCTGATGGGTATACTTTTTTGTATGTGTTTTATACTTCCATAAGAAAGTTTTTAAAAATTCCACTATTATCACCTACCTCAAGCCCCTTGACTGTTGGAGGTGCCAAAGTCCAATGTGCTTGGGGAAAAGAGACTGAGCTGAAAAATTACTTAAACCAAGTTAATTACTGATAGGTATCTCCGATTTAAATAGATTACTTTGTCACACACACACACTTATTGGAACTCCTGTGCATTTTTAAAGGTGCCTACTATCGACAAGCATTCACCCAAAAGATGACATGTTTGCAATGAAACTTCAAGGTGCTCTCTGGAGTGGTAGGAGAGTTGCACAGGCTCTGCTCTCTTACTTAGTGGGTTTCAAGCCTGGATCAACAATTCATTAGTTACATAACCTTAGACAAGTTACTTACTCTGCATTTCTGTCCTTTTGGAGGATAATTATATTCCCACTTTATAGGAATATTCCCTGTATTAAATGAGATAACATACTTGAAGCACTAGGCACCGTGCCTGGCACATAATAGCAGGAGCCCATTAAGAGCAGACAATTAGGGACTTCCCTGGTGGTCCACTGGTTAAGACTCTGCCTTCCCAAAGCAGGGGGTATGGGTTCAATCCCTGGTCAGGGAACTAGACCCCACATGCCGCGACTAAAAGATCCCACGTGCCTCAACAAAGATCCTGAAGATCCTGCAGATCCCGCACGTGGCAACGAAGATCCCTCATGCCACAACCAAGACCCGGTGCAGCCAAATAAATAAATAAATATTTTAAAAATAGCAGACAATTATTTAAGAGTACAGGACTTCCAAGTCAATAATTCCCAAACATTACCTCACAGATAATGATTACCTGCAGTTAAAGCTAATCACAAGAAGGAAAGATTCTGAAAGCCACTCCCCTGGAAGTTACTTCAGGTCTCATGATCCACATGGGAACAAGAATCTGGAGTGCCAGCAACAGGTTTCTCAGGATATTTGCTTTCAGAAGAACCCGCCCCATTCCCCTGCCCTCAGCCAGCAGGGCAATACCTGTGTCCCTCACAGTCTTCCCACACTCCTCGACACAGAGAGTGGCTGTTTCTCATGCCTCCTGCATCTTGTTCCCATAAGCTTGCTCTAAAAGCTTCTAAAGTTTTCAGATGGAAATACTTGAAAGCAAACTTCATGCTCTTATTTCAAATCCTCAAGAGGCTCAACATTCTCCTTGCCCACTTATTCCCAGTTTCCTGGCTCCAGGTAACATTGTGAAGGTGAGAGCTGTCTCCACACCCAATAGAGAGTCTGATAGAGGGTTAGGTGGCAGCCAAAGTAGTCTCTTTGTCTTTGTTCCAAGATAAAGAACTTTTTCAAAACACGTGCATTTTCAAAAGGTCAATGGTGGTAGGATTACAGGTATTTGGCATTTTTAAAATGACTTTCTGTGTTTTCCTAATCATCTATGACTATGTATTATTTTTACTATAAGATTCTTTGGGACCTTGTGTAATTACAAAAGCACTTTGTGCTCAATGAAGAAAACTTAGAAAACACAAAGGAAAAAAAGTTCCCTTAATCACATCAGGTAAAGATAACAGCTGTGGGGCTTCCCTGGTGGCGCAGTGGTTGAGAGTCGGCCTGCCGATGCAGGGGACGAAGGTTCGTGCCCCGGTCCGGGAGGATCCCGCATGCCACGGAGCGGCTGGGCCCGTGAGCCATGGCCGCTGAGCCTGCGCGTCCGGAGCCTGTGTTCCACGACGGGAGAGGCCACAGCAGTGAGAGGCCCGCGTAAGGCAAAAAAAAAAAAAAAAAAAAAAGAGAACAGCTGTGAACATTCTGGCATATGTCTTTCCAAACTTTTCTCTATGCAGAGATGCTTCATTTTTGTGATCTGGGAAAAAAGTAAACATTTAAGAGACAAAGTCTTGGGTCTTTAGTCTTCAATTTATTTCTGTTTTTAAACAGCATCTAATGGCTTGGAAAAGTCCCTAACAGCAAGGGCCTGCCCCATGCACTCCCAGAGGCTCCCCCAACCAGGGCCGGGGTCCAGGATCCAGTAACTCCCCCTCAGCCACACCAGCCATCAAGCCTACTTTCTCTCCATCTCTGGAGACTTGGGACAGAAGAGGGTCTCCAGTTAGAGGGAAAGATGGCACTAAAGGACACTGCGTGGAGGGATTGGGCTCAGACACAGCTGCCTTTGTTAGTCTTAGGATATTTGGGGATTTGGTAGCATGCTCAGACAGACTGCGGGAGGGCTCAGAGAGGGGCTCCTGTGCTCCTCTCTGGCCTCACTCATTCCTGGGCAAGCCTTACAGCACCCCTTCCTCTTGCCGGGCTCAGTGCATTGCCTTTAGAAGCTGGGCAAATGGTAGCCTGTGTAATTCAGCATGCCTTGCTGTGACCTGGTCAGCTGCACTTTACTCCTGGCCTAGACAGGGTGGGTAACCAGGAAAGTGACGGAGATTCAGCCCTGAGGGTCCCACTGCCTCCCGCTACAGGGTTTGGGACCTGACTGTACCAACCCCTTACTAATTCTCACCTAAAGGGGAATAATACAAGGGCA